TTTCTATCCTTTATAACTTTTTTTGTTTATATCATTTTTAGATAATTCCAAGTTTATTTTGTAGCCCATTTATTTCTCTATCATATAGTAAAATTAAAATTTTTTTTATTAAGGATTAAGAAAGTTAAGTAATTTTATGTACACCATATCAAAATTTTCCCCCCAAAATTTTATTTTCTGTATCTCAGATAGGAGAAATCCAAACGGGATGATCTCAACAGAATCTAATTAAGATCATTAGAATCTAATTAAGATCATCAATCTAATTAAGATCATTATTGTAAATCAGTTTTGGGGGGAAAGCGATTTTCTCATTTTGGGAGGGTTACGCGCAATCGAATATCTCTTTAAGCGTTAATCTAAAAAATTTTTTGCTTTATAAGATCCAGAAGATCCAGATAAGTGTCAGTCCATTGTTCTAATACTAATTAAGATCATTAAAGCTTTACCGGAATAATATCTGACTAACTAATTCTCATTTAATTTTAGTTTTATGTACTTGATATAGAAGGGAATCAGATGATGATATTTCCTAATGGAATTTTGCTTAGTTTAATGAACGAGAATTTTAATCCAATAATATGTAATATTGTTTTTGCTTTTTGGACGTATATTTCTACTTTAAATTTACATGGATTGAGTGTTCAATTTATCTATAGATATTTAGTTTTGAATAGGTAAATGTGCAAAAATAATCTCTCCTCGAATAAATATTTTATTAGGAATATGAAAATTAATTTTTGTCGTTATTTATTTATGTTCTCCTTTGTTTTATTTATATGCTTATTTTATGTATTGGATTTGTTTTTATTTTATACTCCTTATTCTTTTGGAGGTATAAAATATTTTGAAAATTTAAACAAAACATTGCCGTTTATTCAATATAAAATGGAAACGGTAATTTTGTTATCTAAATTAAAACAAAAAATATATGTAGATGAATGGGTTGTCAGTTTTGCCTATGATTCTTACTGAACTATGTGCATATTTAATAATAATTATTTGTGGATTCAAAATGGTTAGATATGTCAATTTAAACTAGAGTTGCGCGAGATCGATATCTCGACCGAGACCGAGACGAGAATCTCGGTCATTTTCCAATCTCGGTCTCGGTTTTGCCGAGACGAGACCACCTAACCGAGACGAGATTCTCGGCACTTAATCTCGCCGAGATCCGAGATCAGTATACACCCCTAAAGATTGACCTTCTTGAGATTTATTTTTATTTTGACAAAATATTTAAAATTTTGCTATTGGCATATTGTTGTAACTATTTTAATTTAGTTGTTTAGAGCACAGACAGGACCCTGCACAGGATTTTTCAGGATCCTGTCCGAAATCCTGCCTTTTTTCAGTATTCAGGATTGTTAGGATTCCAGGATTTTTAGGATTAATCCTACAGGATCCTGTCCTGTATGAAATTTTAAAACCCAATCCTGATACAGGATCCGTCCTGAATAATTCTCACGGTTCAGGATTTTTGACCCAACAATTGGGGATGTTGACTCAGTGATGGGGGAAGTTGTTCCAACAACTTTCAGCGAATTCAGCCAAAAATTTTGATGTTCAGCGCCGCGAGCGTAAATTTTGAGAAATTTTGAGATTTTTAAAAATCCCGAAATCCTGGACAGGATCCTGGAAAAAAATGACAGGATTGGCAGGATTTTCAGGATTAATTTTGCAGGATCCTGTCCTGCTTGAAATTTTAAAACCCAATCCTATTACAGGATCCTGCAAATGCGATTTTACCGACCTCTAGTCTAGAGAGCGGAGCAGGACAAATAGGAACGGCCGACCCGTAAAAAATGTACATACCCGTAAAAAATGGACCAGTAAAAATGGACATAATTAAGACTCAATTTTTCAGCGCTTAGGCAAAAATTTTGAGATTTTGGAAGGTCAATAAGCCAGATTTCCTCCTTTTTCAGCGCCCTAGAGAGGGCACAGATGATTTTGATGATGATTTAGATGATATTTAATTAATTTGGTTGGGTTTTGGTGGATAAAAAAAGTTTTGAAGAATCTCGGTTTATCTCGGATCTCGATATCGGTCTCGGGTCAAATTTTGCATCTCGGTCTCGGTCTCGGTCATGCGAGTCTCGGTCAATCTCGGTCTCGGATTTTTTCTAAAATCTCGATCTCGCGCAACTCTAATTTAAACACTAATATTGATGGAAATTTAAAGAGATTGAATAAACTTCTAACAAAAGTTTTGATTCTTTTGGTAAGAATATTTTAAACTGTATATAGTATAGTTTGCCGGTGGTTTTTTAATACCGAGTAATTGGAAAAAACCCGAGCTCGAGTTATCCGAGTTTGAAACCTAACTTTTTAGCCGGGTTCGAGTAGTCTAGTAATTTTTATAAAACAGTATTTTAAAAATATTTTAATAGAAACAATACTTTTAATAAAAAATACTCATCATCAATGATGGGTATTAGTCATTTGTTGGCAGTAATGCAGTGGATCATCATCCAAATCCCAGTTATTTTCTTTAATTTGCCTATATCTCTCTTAATCCGCCGAAATTCCATCATACGCACACGATCCATGTTGACTTCGGGCTCCTGGTTGAAAATCAATGGATAATATTATTTCGGGGATTCGTGTAGATTATGGGGATATCGAGTGATAAGAGGAATGAGATAGATATCAAGGGATTAAGCGGGATTTGGGCTGATTATCGTGCGATTTGGGCGTATTAGGAGCAAAATCTGGTATATCGTCTGATTAGGTATATCATTGAATGTTGGATCATGAGTTCTGTCCAGTCTATACCCTCTTTTTGGCTGTAGTTTAGTACATGCCCACCGAGATCGAAACTCAAGTTATATACCATTCGATTCGTCTCGCCGAGCTGAGTTCAAATATGCAAGAATTTTCTGCCGGAGACGAAAACTCGCAGAGATACAGGCCCCCGAAAATCGAAAAACCATAGGGGGGACCAAGCACTTTTTTGGGGTGAAAAATTCGAATATGCAAATTATAACTCATTCGAAAGAGCTCGTTGAGCTGAGTCGAATGACACCAAAATCAACAAAATCCGACTTGATTGGACAAAGTTGTGATCTTTTATTTTAGCTCCTTACCTATGGCATTTGTGGAGATTTTTGCTGCTACGGAGGCCCCAAATACGTCCAGAGCAAGGGAGATAGGAATAGGTTTATGTTACGAGCCCAGACCCAGCGCCCGTAGACTCCCCGCGAGGCGCGTGACGCAAAACCCCGCGCGAAGCGCGGGGTTTTGCACAAGCGCCTCGCCGACGCTCCATAGGTTTAGGTTTTTTGTTTTTTGTATCATAACTTTGTCTAATCTTGTTCAATCACGGTGATTTTGGTGTCATTTGACTCAGCTCGTCGAGCTCTTTTAAATGAGGTATTATTTGTATAAAAAATTTTTTATTCCAAAAATCGCCCCTTTGGATTTTCTATTTTTAGAGGTCTATATCTCGGTCCAATCAAATCGGATTTTGTTGATTTTGGTGTCATTCGACTCAGCTCGACGAGCTCTTTCGAATGAGTTATAATTTGCATATTCGAATTTTTCACCCCAAAATAGTGCTTGGTCCCCCCTATGGTTTTTCGATTTTCGGGGGCCTGTATCTCTGCGAGTTTTCGTCTCCGGCAGAAAATTCCTGCATATTTGAACTCAGCTCGGCGAGACGAATCGAATGGTATATATAACGATTTTCGATCTCGGTGGGCATGTACTAAACCGACCCCCTCTTTTTGCCCGAGCGGTCGAGTCGAGTAGCTCGAACTCTAGTTTATTTATATTCAATTTTAGGCTTTTATGCCATTTATCAATCTAACTGGAGGCTTATTTATTATGATTTATTCAAAAACAAATAACTATACAACAAACATTATTCGTATATTAATTTTAATTCTTTTTCATTTTATACCCGTATTTAACCCAATTATTTGTATTTTAACAAACACACCATATCGAAATGCTGTTTTTAATCGTGCACAAATACATCCACAATAATTGAATAAAAATTTGCATAATTTTTTATCATTATTTTAATCAAAAAGCTACTCTTTGTTGATAATTTTAGAGCCAAGTGTTTCCGATAAATTAATCAAAAAATTCGAGTCTCTTTGTCAATGTCGATCAAAAATGACGAAGGTGCCTGAAATCGGAACTGTCGGAAATCGGAAATGGAGCAAAAGCCGGAACTCGGAAACCAGCCTTAATTTTCGGAAACTGGAACTCGGAATTCCGATCAACCTCTGCTCAAAAGAAAGCCATCTATAGATCTCAAACAGGATCTATTATACACAGCATTTTTCAATATTTTGTTAAAAGTCCATATGTACTTTATAAGTTTTTTTTCGAAATTATTATAATTTTCTCAGTCAAAATTTAAATAAGCAATAAATAAATATCTCATGATATTTTTATGTAAAAAAGTTTTCAATGTAAATATTAAATAAATTTCTCAGAAATATTTTTTGTATTTAAAACTAAGCAACGTAAATATTGTCAAGATTTTCAATAGAAAATTTTTAAATAAATTTTACAATTTATTTGGTTAAGCAGGAAAAATGGATAGCAAATGAACTTCTTAATACACCTAAAGACTATTAGGGGGGCTTGGAATTTTTTGGAAATTAAAATGATTTTAGTTAATTTATTATGTTCATTTGATTTGGAGAAATGTTAAGAGACATTGGATAGAAATTTAAGATTAAAAAAATTAAATATGTCCGCTAAGTCCTAATCTTACTGTCATGCTGTATTAAACTCAGATAGGTTCCTTCAAAACCAAACTTATGGAAATATACAAAAAAATAATTTCCTGAGTATTGTAACAAAATTTTCAAAAAATATTTTGTTGTTAACAAAAATAGTCAAGTTCAACAGCTTCTGCCCTATTATATCCTCCAAACTGATGTAAATTTATTTTTTATTTACAAAAAAATACTTTAAAAACAACAGCTGATACAAACAAATAAAATTTTCTTTTCAATCATTTTTGATCCGTTTAATCCCAAGTGTTTTTCATCGTCAAAATATTGAGGAAATCAATAAATATTATCCCAATTTATTTGTTTTTCATTAAAAATCTAATGGATAATTTACAAAATACCCAAATAAATTCAACAAATAATTTAATTGAGCCTCCAAAGGGTATTGAATCAGAGATTGAAAGTTCTACAATTTTAGAGGATGAAGATGTTGAATGGATAGAGGTGACAGATGATGAGTGGTGTGGGGAACAAGAAAATGAGCAAAATGTTGGGCAATTACAAAAACAGGTAAATTATTCCCATTATTATGTTATGACAATTTTGGTCCATTATCTTTTTTAAGAGTAGATTGCCATATTTAGCCCATACCTTAGTCAATAACACAGATAGTTGGCCCTGAGGATGTGTTTGAAACAGCGAATATAGTACAGTATAACAGTGGTTTTTCGATTTTCGGGAACTTATATTTCGGTCCGCGGGTATCTCCGGAAAAAAAGTGGCACCGTTGCATCGAAACCTTACCATCGTACAGCTGAAATAGCAATTATATATTAGTGGAGGTATTCAAAGAAGGGGATTACCAGATTCTCTTACCCGGATAATCTGTAGAACATTTTCATGAGGGCTAAATTTTATTCCAAAAAATGGCCAAGAATTCGCTGAGTACTCGCAGCTATAAGTTAGCTAGGCTCTAGTTTAGGACATGCGTCCCATGAGCGTTTATGCGTCCCATGAGCTTTTATGCGTCCCATCAGAGAGGGACGCATATACTCTGAAGGGACGCTTATGATATTTTTGGGACTCATAAAAGCTCATGGGACGCATAAACTCTCATGGGACGCATGTCCTAAACTAGAGCCGTTAGCTAACCTATAAAACCTTTTTTGGAAAATTGTGTTTGTTGTACAAATATTTTTTTGAAGTTTTTTACTTTTGGAAATAAAAATGGTTGTTCAAAAATTTTTAAAAATATTTTTAAGCCCGAATTAATATTACAACAAAAACCCTTTGAAACTTTTCAAACAACCAGCACAACTTCAATAATCCCAACAAATAATGTCCAGTCAGAATCTACAGAAAAAATAACTGAAAGACTTCCAGATGAATTAAGTAGTATAAGTCCAGTAGAAAGTGACGAACAATCGGAAGAATTAACAATCCCAACAACAAAGGATTTGTTAACTGGGGCTGCCCAAAAGGTGGCATTTTCTGTTGAGAAGGAAGAAAAGGAAAATGAAAATAAGAATGGAGATGAAATTCAAATAAAAATATTTGAAGGAAAAAAGAAGGAGGAAATTGAAGAAGAAAAAGAATTAAGAACACCTACTGCTAATATTCAATCAAATTTTTTTCCAACAGACAAGGGAAAGGAAGAGGAGGACAAAAATAGGAAGGAAAATATTTTTGAAATTCCAACAATTTATTTTCCAAAAAATGAAACTTTAATTAATCAGAATGAAGATGTGGAGAAGAAAAAAGCTGCGGAAAAGGAGGCAGAAAGATTAATAACGGAAATTGGGTTAAAAGAAAATGAAGAAAATAAAAGGGGAATTAATGGAATAAATGAGGGAGAGAATAAAAATTTGGATAATTTAGAGGGAATATCTACAGAAATTAAAATACAACCATTTTCTCATTCGAAAGAAGCTGATTCCTCTAATAAAGAAGAAAATAGGTTGATACAGGGAGATCAAGGTAATGTGGGGATAATGACAAAATATCATGGACAAGTTAACAATCAGGGCAGTATAGTTTGAGAGATGGTCGGGAGTTAAAAAAACCTAGAGTTTTTTACCGAGAGCTCAAAAAACCCGAGAAATTTCTCGACTCAAGAACCGAGACTGAGAGTCTCGACCAGCACTAATAGCTTGAGAGATAAGTTATTCTGTCTAAGGGATTCTAAGGAATTCTTCTTCCACTTTGGGATTTTTTATCCTACGAGTTAATGTAAATATAATTTTAGAAAATATTAAAGAAAAAGACGTAAAAGGAGATAAAATAAAAAGAGAAGAATCCAAAAGTGAAGAAACGAAATTTTACGAAGTTCCACCAAACGGTTATGAAAAACTACCATTAATTGAAGTTAAACCAGCTAATGTTAATTATTTAATTCCTCAAGAAAGTAAAGAAGAGAAGATGTTAACAGAAACAATTATTTTACCGAAAAATGTCAGATTTATTGAGGAGAGGAAGGAAGAACAACAAAAGATTGGGGAAAACAAGTCCAAGGATGAAATATCTTCCTTGGATGAATATGAATTAAAATTGAGAAGACGTTCTAAAGAGGCACTGGAATTGGTTGATAAAATATGTGGATTACAGGCACAAGAGACAGAAAAAGTATAGTATATCTTTGGATTTTATAATAGTTTATTGTCTATAAGGTAGGACGGAAAATCTAGTAAGGACTGTTAGCAATAAGGTTTTCGGATAGTTGGAAATCTTCGGATATCCGGATCAGATATACGAATGGAAAATTTCCGCATGTCCTGTCGCTTTTTCGGATCCGGATCCAACAACCTTAGTTACTAAAGAACCCTCATAAGTAGGGCGAAAGGATTTTTGGTATACCGAAAAGAAAATATCTGATTAAATTACTAAATATACAAAATTTACTCAATTCCTGTCGAAAATAATTCTAATCTGTTACAGTAATTATGAAATTATACTTATAAATACAGTCGAATTTCATTATGATGTATGCCCGTGGGGTTGATAAGAGTGTCTCTAAAAATAGTTGTACTATACATTAGATATACATACTATAACGAGTTATGACTGTATTGTTATTTTATAGCTAGGTATATAATCTACCAAAAATAGCATTGGCATCTGAATAATAGGTTGAGTCGGTCAATCATTTAGGATGTCATTGGAAACTGATAGAAACTTCCAAAACCGAAATTTTTTTAAAACTCAAGACAAAGAGTCTTGGAAGTGTCTAGAAACGGAGTTGACTAGTTTTTCTTTTTGACCCAATAAATTACTATACATATCTATTTAAAGAAACCTCCAATCACTCGACCTTCTCAATTTAATCTTGAAATGGATAGACCAGTTAATACAACAAAGGATGAATTAAAAGAAGCACTAAATGCAGGAATTCATGGGTTATCTGGAAGTAATAGAGGGACTGTTGGAGTGGATACAAGAATACCAGAATCTGTTATTCAAATTGGAGGAGGGTTGGTGTTTACTTGAAAATAAATAAGCTTTTATAAATCTCTATTCCACTTTTGGATTAGGGGTAGTTATTTCCGGTTATCGGGCCGTTTTTCGGGCTAGTCTTTGGCAAAATTAACCGGCTGCCCCGCCTAAATTAAAAACAACTTAGGTATACTCAATAACATAAAAACACGCTTGATTAGGGCTGGGGTCCGGTTCAGCCCGAAAAAAAAGATTTAATTATTTAGGATTTAATTAAGTTGATTTAGGATTTGGCTAGCGGAGGGGCTGATCGGGGAGAGCCCGAAAGGCCTAATGACCGGACCCCAACCCTACATGGGATAACTGAAAACTTAATATAAGTAAGATTGGAATAATTGGAAACACGACAGCAATGATGGTGATATAACTGAAAATGAAGTAGTTGAAAGATTTTAAGAATAGAAATGGGATATTAGTATCTAGGACTGGGATAATGAAAGATTCGGAGATAGATTCGGAATTCGGAGATATTATTCGGAGATAAAATTCGGAGATATTTACCTTTTATAGTCCAAACATATCTTCTAAAATATAAATATCCTCCTCTCAATTTTTCAGTCCAATTCTCGATGTAGAATGTGTTTCAGTTAGTCAATCATTACTTCAATTTCCAATGGATTGTCTTCTTTTGCCTGGAAATAATTTATTAATTGTTGATTCCGATGCCGGTCTTTTATTAATTTCATTGGAATCTAAACAAGTTTTAAAACAAATAAGTCCAAAACAAAATGTTTGGAGAAATCCGGAATGTTGTTGTTTGGGAAGTGGAGGAAATAATAATGGAGAAGAACAGACCATCTTTGTAAATTTTAATTTTTAAGTGGCCTTTCAACCAATTACCCAATTTCGATACAATATCCTGTTCTAATTGTTTGTTTATTTATGTAGATAGATCTTAATAACTGCCCTCAATGGTAATAATAATAATAACCAGTGGTTGGAATTTTGAAAATTACTCGTACTTGTACTTTTGTACATGCCTTATTTTTTTCTCGTACTCATACTCGTACTTGCCTAATTTTTTCTCGTACTCGCCCTATTTTTGGCCTCGTACTCGTACTTCGTACACAGGTACGAGTATGAGAACGAATTTTGGTACGAGCTTCCAACCATTATTAATAACTCCCCTTGGTGACGGCACTCCAATTATTTACTTACAATAATATTGGAGTGCCATTAAATCAGAGTTTAAACTTGTCAGTCGCATTAAGGGCGTAATTCAAAAAATAGTCGTCGATGCTGTATTTTGCGCCATTAAAGATTTGTAGGGATGAAATTCTCTCTATTCAAAATTATTTTTAATAAAATTTTTCTTCAGGTTTTATTAGAATACAATGTGAATAACGATAAAGAAAATAAAGAAAATTCCAATATTCCTCCAACCTCTCCAATAAAAGGAATTTTAAAAGAAAGACAAAGTAATGAAAAAACATTAGAACAACAACAACAACCCCAATCAAAAACCGAATGGCGCCGTTATATCTGCAGATTTTCAATTTCTGATTTTTCAATGTTAGATAGAATAGAAGCACCAAAATGGTTAAGAGAAAGGGTTATTTGGAGTTGTAAAATGTGTTCCTTTAATAAATTTATTTATTTGGCTGCAAATACACCAAATCAGGGATTTTTGTTCGAATTAAATTGTGAAAATGGAAAGTGGATTGAATGTAGAGGAACGAGAATAAATAGTCAATTTGCTGATGTTAATTACTTTGCTAGTGTTGGTAGGTATCAGGGATCTCGCCGACCCGATACACTATTCCCGAAATTCGTGAACTCAAAATATCAGGGATGCTGGAGTTTAATGATCTACTGAAGATGCTGGTTCGCTCCCAGCCGACGATCAACCTTTTGAACTATCTAAAGGAGAGTAATATTTAGCTATAGCCCAGTTGCTTAGCTATAGCTATATTACTTAGCTATGTATAGCCCAGTTTGCTCACTCCTCTCTTTATACAAAAAACTCGGGTCATGGTTCGTGTTGGGTTTTCGAAAATTTGTCTTGTAGCTTTTGAGGTCAAGAAAGACCGTGTTTCGGTAACCCGGCCCATCCCTGTTGCATACATCACAAATTAATTTTCAGGTCCAGTAACCGAATTATTATTAGTGGAGACTAATCGTTGTTATGTCCAATTAATATCTATTTACAATTCAACAGTTGTAAATGCCCGAATTCTTGGAATCTGTGAAAGACCCGGGGCTTTATGTGTTGACAATTATGGAAATGTTTTAATTTTTGATAGATCTTCATCTTCTGTTGGTTTATATTCTAGGGCATTTTTAGGTAGAATTATTCGTTGGAAAAATTTCTGCGGACCAAAGTTTTGCGGATTAACTTTACGGACAAAATTACAGAAAATATTCGTCCGCAAATTTTGTCCGCAAAAATATTAAATTTCAGACACAATCCTCAATTTTACCCATTTTAGAAAAAATTGGAGATTTGGCTTTTGTTGAAAGAGCAAATTGTCAGTTAAGTGCTAGAGACGGAATAATTGCTATTTTGTGTAAGACAACAAAGGAATTAAGATTACACAAATATTTGGATAAATTAAATTTAATAAATAAACAATTATTTGGAGAAAATTATTTTTGTGGTGATGAAGGGAAGAAAAAGAAAAATGGTAAAGGAAGAATTGAAGAGATTGGAGAAGAAGAAGAGGATGAAATTATTAGAGAACCAATACCTTTAATGAGAGCATAACTAATGTTTGGAAGCTCGTACCAAAATTTGTAATCGTACATGTCTACGAAGCAGAGGTCGATCGGAAATCAGCCTAAATTTTTGGAAATCGGAGAAAAAAATGTCGGAAATCGTAAGTCGGAAATCGGAATTCCGATCGACCTCTGGTAAGAAGTACGAGTACAAGGAAAAATACTGCGAGTACGAGAAAATTTCAGAATTCCAAACACTTTGGATAACTAAAAATAAAAAATATTTTTTAATAAATTTTTAATTACATATCATTTTTTAATTTTTTTAAAAATTTGACTACTACATATAGAGTAAGGATTTCAGGGATTTTTGGAGGATCCCATATGCATCTTGTTAGTTATTCATTAAAGGAAGTTTATTCAGATTTTGAAAAAACTCAGATCACTAGCACAAAAATTTTTTTGAATGAGGGATGGATGCAAATTTTCATATAATTTAAATAAAAAATTTGATACTATTCGACAAAAATAATTATTTTTTTATTTCCGAACAAATTAATAATCAAAACAAATTTCTATCAAAATTTTTTGAATAAATTTTTGATATTTCCAAACTTCATATTTAATGAGTATGAGTTGGTGGTTTTTGCTTGGGGTCAGCATAGTCTTCATTCAATAACCCCCCTCCATCACCATTATTCTTTTCCTTCATTTTGTCAACATTTATTTTCTGTTCAGTAGCTCCATCCACATTATTAAGAGTACAAATTAATTGAATGCCAATAATTAAAAGAAAAATGAATTGAAAAGTTGTAGATTTCATTTTTTAAATTTATTTTTTATCTAAAATTTAATTAAATTTTAGCTATTGTTAGCCATATAGGTCTGCTAGTATATGTAGAAGCAATAATTAATTTTTAAAATTATTAAGGTAAGTGCCTATTTTGTATCATAATTTGTCCTTTTACTACAGGGCTTCGATTTCTGCGGATTTTTCCTCATTTTATGGTTTTTGATAGGGCGATGAGAATTATTTTTAAAAATGCGGATTTGCGGATTTTTGTGGTCTTTTGAAGATTATGAGGATTTTCTGTATTTTCTTAGATAAAATGTCATTTTTTGACTGCATGGCCTTCGTCACCAAAAAAATTTCCCCCTTGGCCTCTCTAGCTCGGAGTCAAAAATTCTTTTCTTAAAATATTTCTAGCAATATTTTAAAGTGTTTTTTTGGTTAAAGTGTGAGGATTTTACAAAAATTATTATTTTAATAATTTTTTCAAATTTAAGAGACTTTACCGAAATTTTGTAGTCATTTTATATTAAAAAATTTTTTTATTTGATTTATGATCAAAAACATAAAACTTTGGACAGGTTATTTGCTCAAACCCTTTTTTTTAAACAATTCCACATAATTCTTTCTAACTCAATATACAAAAAGCCTGTTTGTTTGGAATAATCCAACTTTTTATTATTTTAAAACTTTGTGTGTTTTGTTTGGATCATAAAAAATATTTTTAAGTAAATTATTATGGTTCAATTTTTTTGAGTATTTTATTTTTGAAAATTTAAATTTTCCATTTATGGAAATTCTTGGTCATAAGGGGTCCGTTTTATTGTATATTTTTTATTTTAAAATTTTATGACATTTGTTTGAATAAATTTACAAAATATTTCGAAGTATGCTAAAAAATGCTATATTTGGGCAAATATTTATTGCAATACAAATATTAAAAATATAATAAACCATGAAAGATTCCAATATGAAATTTGGCTTAAAATATCGAGAAATTTAAATTCAAATTTTGATTTGAATTTAGTTATTAACACAAGTTTATATTAGAAACGAACAGGGGAGGGAGTACGAAAATCGAGTTCGACATCTCGCAATCTCGATAATCGAACTTTTATTACTAATGTCTTCTAGCTCCGGCTCCTAGTTTTATTGTTAAAAATAGAGTTGATCAAAACGATACTGGTATCGGCCAACCCGAGACCGAGATTGACCGATACTCAAGAACCCGATACCGAGACCGATACCATCATTTTGAGCCGAGACCGATACCGAGAAACGATACTGACCGAGACTAACAAAATTTTTTATTTTATGTCAAAAAATAGTGTAAAAATAATTTATTGATTATTTTCATCATCTGGATCCGATCTGGCTTGGCAATGTATACAAATTTTTGTGTCCGTATCCAAATAGGTATATCCGTGAGGGCGATTTCCGTATCCGTTTATACTTTTGAGGCATATCCATCTGCGGGTATCCGCGGATAGCCAAAATAGAAATTTCGGTTAACCAAACCATTGATTTCAGCGCCAAAGCCAAAAATTTTGAGAATTTTAAAAGTGCAAGTCAACAGATTTCTTCCAATTTTCAGCGCCGTAGGCAAAAATTTGTAGTTTTGGAAGGCCAAGACGCCAGAATTCTTCCTATTTTTAGCGCCACTGACAAAAATTTGAGAATTTTGGAAGGCCATGAAGCCAGATTTCTTCCAATTTTTGCCCTCAGATACGCAAAATCAATGCGCTCATCCCTGCTTCCGATCATTTTAAATCCCCTTTTCCACTGGTGGGAACAATAGTTGCCGAAAATCGGAAGGCTCTGTAATCAAAATCTTGAAAATCTAACGGCCGGGGACTTGGAAAATTCAACATTTCAGCGCGCGCCGCAGACGATAATTTATTAAATTTTGGAAGGCCAAGTCACCAAATTTCTTCTTTTTTCAGCGCCGCAGGCGAAATTTTTTTAAATTTTAGAAGACCTTATTCGAAAAAATTCACTTTCTCGGTTATCGACGGATATCTGAAAAAAATTATGGACGAAAACTTGGACAATATTGGTGATTTTGTTTCTTTGAGTCAGTATCGTTTCTCGCCGAGAAATGGACCGAGAATATCGGTATCGGTTTCGAGACCGAGAATGAAAAAACCGAGACCGATATTGGAAAAAAGCCGAGAATCTCGGTATCGGTCTCGGTATCGGTCTCGTCTTGATCAACTCTAGTTAAAAAGATAAAATGAAATATTTATAAGATTTTTATGCACAAATACTAACAGAAAAAGTTGTATAAAGAAAATTTTTTATTTTTAGGTTGATGTTAAATTAATTTTAAATGTTTAATATCTTCGAATTATCTTTGATCATATCATAAAAAATTATTCTTTGATCATAACATGAATATTTAAATAGAATAAACTTTACTGGAGAATTTCTAATATTCTTATTAGAGTGATTGGATTTCGTGCCGTAATGGTACGGGAATAGTTAGATATTTGGTGCTTTTGGTATGACAAATTATAATACTCGGAAATGGGATAATCTAGCATAATATTTTAAAATTATAGTCCGATTTCTAATTATTTTAAAGTAATGATTTAAAAATTTTTTTCGTGTTTAATATTCAATAGAAGCTTATTCAGACAAATTCGAAGAAGGAAATAAGTAGTTAATTCTGCGGATTTACTTGTGCACGATTAAAAATAGCATTTCGATATGGGGTATTTGTTAAAATACAAATAATTGGGTTAAATACGGGTATAAAATGAAAAGAAATGTAAATTAATATTCGAATAATGTTTATTGTGATGTTGGTTGTTTTTATATAGAATATAAGGATCATAAGTCCAGTGTGATTAACAAACGGTACAAAAGCCTAAAATTTTTATATTTAAAATATATTATTTTCCCTTAAGAAGTTAACCTAGCATTTTAGATTAAAAAATTATTTATCTACTTCTGATAGAAATATTCTTAAAAAAGATACGATCTAAAAATTGCCGGATTAAGTATCAGGTTTCCACTTAACATACATAGTTATTTTTTATTCAAGGGAGAAGCATCAAATTTTGACGATATGACTATACCGAGTTCGAATCTTGTTAAAATATTCTTTTAAAAGTACAATCAAAAAACCTACCAAAAGAATCAAAACTTTTGTTAATTGTTTATTCAATCTCTTTAAATTTTCATCAAAATTGGAGTTTAAATCGACATATCTAACCATTTTAAATCCACAAACAATTATTATTAAATATGCGGATATCTCAATTAACGCCAATGGCAAAAGTGAGAAAATATTCAACTAAATATATTTAAATTTATTTTGAAAAACATAAATTTAGTTGAAAATTACCGTTTCCATTTTGCATTGAAAAAACGGCCAAGTTTTTTTAAAATCTTCAAAATATTTAATACCTCCAACTGCGTACGGTATGATAAACAAAATTAAATCCAAAGTGTAAAATAACGTCGCAAATAAAGCAATGGAGAACATAGATAAATAACGAAGGAAATTAATTTTCATATTCCTTTTAATATTTAATTTATACATATGTACATCTCTTTAAATTATCTCTACATCTCTTTAAATTATCTGTACATCTCTTTAAATTATCTTTCCGAACGAGGGGGGGGGGCATGGGGAATAGTTTTCGGGGAATCAGCGCTACGGGGGGAGGGGGACGAGGAAGTTTCAAAGATGTCACAAATTCCCCAACTTTAGAGGACGGGGATGGTGAACAACCCTAATTTATATTAGTGTTAGGAAATGGATTTTTTCGGTTCCGATTCCTGGAGTACCGAAAAGTACCGGTTCGGTACTGACGGTAGTACCGAATCTTAACTTATACTCGCCACAAAATTACCATTTAAAGCAAAGAATTTTTGATATTTTTTTAAATTAAATACCTATTCAAAACTAAATATCTATAAATGAATTGAACAGACAGTCCATGTGTATTTAGATAAGAAATAAATGCCCAAACAATGAAAACAACATAACTTATTAATGGATTAAAATTTTCATTTACAAAAATAAGCAAAATTCCATTGGGGAAAATCATAATTGTATTCCCTTCTGTATCAAGTATATAAAACTAGATACTAAATATAAAATTATTTTTAAATAATTATTGTTTTTAATTTAAATTAATAAGGGTATATAAAACTAAAAAGAATTATAAAATTGGTTTTATGTCGCTTTTACCTGTTGAACAAGCGTTTGATTAATTAATAATAAAATATCTAAAACACAATTTTGTATC